GGCAAGACGGCGGTGGGCGACATCTCCCCTCGTGGCCTCAAGATGTCAGCCACCTTCATTGGCAACAGCACGGCCATCCAGGAGCTGTTCAAGCGCATCTCGGAGCAGTTCACGGCCATGTTCCGGCGCAAGGCCTTCCTGCACTGGTACACGGGCGAGGGCATGGACGAGATGGAGTTTACCGAGGCCGAGAGCAACATGAACGACCTGGTGTCCGAGTACCAGCAGTACCAGGACGCCACGGCCGAGGAGGGCGAGTTCGAGGAGGAGGCCGAGGAGGAGGTGGCCTAGGACCTCTGCATCCGCGTCCTGCCTGCCCCCTGCTCTTTGCTAGGCTTTTGACCTTTGACCTCTGCGCTGACCTTTCCCTCTGAGCCTGACTTATTTCTGACCCTATGACTCCATGGACATCCTTTGCCCTGACCCTGACCCTAACCCACCTTGGAGACTGCTTTACTGCTGGTCATGTCATTGCTGACCTTCGCCTGCCTTTGACCCTTGACCTTACTCTATCGCCAACCCCCTTAAGTGCTCCCAGCTCCGAGCCTTGCTTTGACCCTCCTGATCCCGATCCCATAAAGCCCCCCTTTCTCTCCTGACTCGCCTTCATGCCCAGCCCCATCTTCCCCTTGGACTCTCCCAGCCCTCCCGTTGGACCTCCAGACCTAGACACCCTCGTTTACATTCCGTACCTTCCCCCGAGCCTCACGTGGCCTCAGAGCGTGCCTCGCATCTGACCCAGGGATCCCCAGCTCTGCTCCGACCCCTCTCCAGCACGCCTGATCTGCCGTTCCCTCCCTGCCTTGCCTTCCCCGAGATAGTGGGAAATCGTCGCGGGGAGAGAAGCTAAGCCCCGACGCCTGCCTCGCCCTCTTCCCCCACCTCGTCCTGATAAATAAACAGCTGTGCTGGAAGGTGGCTCCTGAACTCACTTCTCGTCTGCTTCTACAGGAAGGAGGGCTCCTCCCTCCGGGACAGAGGGGGCACGGAAGGAGTCGAGGAGTGATGGGATGGATTTGGAGACAGGCCAGGCGATGCCATGAACGAACCGAATGGCACCGAGTAAGCCACTTGTCCTCTCGAGCCTCGATTTCCTTGCCTGTAAAATGGGACCAAGAGTTTTCTCCCATGATCCCCATGAGCCCATTTCAAGGATGTTAGTGAGGATTCCAGGGGGCGAGTGCCCAGTGATAGGGTGCTGCCATCCCCTGTGGGGCATTTTGCAAGTATAGAAAGCAGGAGGCGGAATCTCTAGGAAAGCGATGAGGGTGCTGGGGAGACGGTAGCTCGAGCCCAGCACCTAAGTGGCAATCCTGCCAGTACAACAGAGCTCCCATGCATGGAGGAGTTGCGTGTGCCCAGTACAGCCCTTATCTCATAATTCTCAAAATGACCCTGAAAACACTGAGCCTTTGTTCTCTCTCAAACCAAGGTTCGGAGAGATCAGTACATCAGAGTGTATCAGTTAGGTTTTACTGCGTAACAAACTAGCCCTCAACACATAATGGCTCACAGGAAAGACACTAAAAATAAATAAATAAACATTTAAAAATGTTCCCTGAATAAATAAATACACATTTTTACAATGTTCCATCCATGAGAGAGAGGAAAAAAAGAGAGAGAGAGACCTCCAACAGAATCTTCATGCTACAAGCCACTCCCAGTCTCAGCCAGCCCCAGGTCATTGGCATACTTGTGGCTGATGTATTCAGGGAGGTTTCTGGATACAAACTTTCCCATGTGCCTATTAGAGGTGCCTGTCTCCCTCTCTCATGGAAGAAATCGATGGATATACTTTTTTTTTAATGGGATTCACTTCTACCTTGGTCTCTAGGGAACCCAGCAACCATGCTATGAAGAAGCCCAAGTAGACTACCGAGAGGCCCACAGAGAGAGGTAGCTTGCTCTACCCAGTCCTGCTGAGCCCCCAGCTGAGAGCTGGCATCAACTCACCCGTCAGTTATAAGACACCTCGGCAGGACAGCCGTCAGCCTCCAGCTGACAAAGCAGAGATGAAGTTCCCTGCTGAGCCCGTGTGTGTGGAGAGTGGGCACTGGATGGCGCACAGCAGAACCACAGAGCTCTGTGAAGCTGGCCCACATGGGGAAGTTCTGGGACTCTGTCCAGAGACACTCTCCCTGAGTACCCTGGGCACACACATGCTCATGACCTGGGACTGGCTGGTGCTGAGGATGGATTACAGCATCAAGATCCTGTTGGAGAGGCCAGCAGGTGGCATGATGGTTAAGGCGCTGGAGTTCCACATGGCCAACCACGGTTCAAGTCCTGGACCTGATGGCTTGCTTTCTCACTTCCTCTCTCTGGTCAAAAAGCTTTTTAGAGAATTATTTTATTTATTTAACTTTCTTTCTTTCTTTCTCTCTTTCTTTCTCTCTTTCTTTCT